AGCTGCCTTTTGTGCAAAAAAACCCTGGATAGCTTACTTTTTTTCTCTCTACCTTTTCTGTTGGTTTCTTTCCTTGTCTCCAGGGTGACCCCTTGCCCTCGAATGCTTGAACTGTGTCTCTTTGTCTCAAAATATGTCAGGAATTAAGTTCTCTGGGACATCCATCTGTGTCACCTTTATTTGCTTGGGAAGGCTGCCGTGGATGTTTATGGCAATGCAGCTGTAGTGATAGTAATGTGAAAAGAACAGCTCTGCCTTTGCTGAAACTTTGTCTTTTTTATAGTTTTGATGAAACAGCCAGGATATGGGGGAATACTGAAGGTCATTAAAAAAATTCATGAAATGGTGTTCCTTGCATCCCTGCCTAACAAGATCTGATCCTATTTGCATTATATCATTGGCAGGATGCGGAAGTGCCATAGTAATGTCAAAAGCATTGAGATAAATGACAGCTCCATTAATTGGGTAGGCATTTGGGCTCAACTTGGGAATTTAGCATTTTATAGGTGTGCTTGGGACAACAGAAGGGGGTAGCGTGTTGAAAAGTTACTGGGCTGGGATATTTACTGCTGGGTATGTTAATGTGAGTGCCAGCATTGCTCTGTCTGGAGCTTGCACTGCTGGAGAGGGTGTTTAGGGATGCTGGGCACATCTCCTGGAAGGACTTATACTCTCTGCATAGATCAGGCTTTTTCAGCTGCAGTCCCTTAGCACAAGGGGAGCTGTACACAGGCAATATGCGCTGCCTACTGATCAGGCACACAGCTCCTGCCCAGGCCGGCGTTTGTAGGGAGCTACAGCTAGATCCAGAAAAGGAATTAGGCACTTCAGCTGACATTGAAATCTGTGGGAAGATGGAAAGTAACATGTTAGAACTTTGGTCGTTTAGTGGATAACTGTGTTTATTGATCAACAGAGCAGAAACTTTAAAAAAATACTATCTCTAAACTGTGCATGGGTCTGGGTTTTGCTGTGATGCCAATGTTGTAGCAGAGGTACATGCAAATGTTTTCTGCAAGCTTAGTAGTCAATCAGTGACAGAGGTGGTGGGCTCTGCCTCCAGAGGTAGCAGGGAAGAAACCTTTGCATCTGTTGCCCAGCTTTAAACAGAGTGCAGAATTTGGTTGCTCAGGAATCTGTGGAAAAGAAATGCTCTTTTTGATGGTTTACCTACTGTAACATTACCTTTCTGGTAACAAAAATATTGCTGTATCTATACCTCAAAAATTTCTGTTAGTAAATGAGAACTAAGAAAGGTGATTATTTAGCTTCTGTATTGGAGAAAACATGGCAAAGTAAATTTTTTGTAAATTTTTTTAGGAGAATAGGAAGCATTTTCTGCACTTTAATAATTGAACATCTCTGTCTCCCAGGTCTTCTTGCCCTGCCTAAGACATAGTTGCACTTGTGCAGCTCAAATAAATGCTATCAAATTGCACAGCAACAACTGTGTTTTATTTGCCCAAAGAACTATTACTTACAATAACATGCAAAAAAAACCCAAACAAACAAAAAAACCCCAACAACAAACCACCAAGAGATATATCCTTTGCTGATTTTCACATTACAGGCTAATTTTTAATTTTTTCAGGGGACTGGCAGTGAGGCATTGTTTTCTGTTTTCATTTTGTGGAAGAAACCTGCAGTCTTTGTGTATCTATGTCATGCACATTTAATAAGGAAATCACAGAGACAATAAAATTGGAGCCCTTACATGCCTTTTCTTTTTCTTTATTCATTTTTTTAAACAAACAAACAAACCCAAGCTGCTTGTCACAGTTGAATCACACTTGCAGGCTTTTGCTGCAGTCATTGCATGATGTTGGCTAAAGAATTGAAATTGCAGCTGGCTCTGGAGATATGCAAGTTTTGGAGATAATGATGTTAAGGGGACCTTAATGGCTTACCTACTTTTCCACCAGTGGCAACCGGGATATACTTATATTAACTGATGTTTGTGCTTCAGGTAATTTTACATGCCAAGTAGGTCTTGAATAAAGTTTGAAATCCTTTTTTTTTTTTTTTTTTTAATTTCATGGTGTTGATTAGTTAACAGGTTGCTGTTAATAAAAACAGGAGTTTTCAGTTTTCTGCTCTGTGCTCAGCTGACAGTCTGGAGCCCAGGCCAAGTGCAAAGCAGTGAGGGCATTGCAAAAATATGAGGCAAAGCTTACAGTAGTGGGTGATCTCATTTCCCAGATGAGATTGAAGCTTTCTCCCTGTGGAAGGTGGGAGACTCTGCAGGGGAGTCAGCTCAAACTGAATGCTTTAGCACAGCTGGTGTTGGAGATTCACACTAGTCTCAGAGCTGGAGGGGATGTGGCTGAGCCAAAAGGGAGGTAACCAGCAGGAATCTCAAGCCATGCATTTATTAAAAACATCTTTAACATGATGCTCATCACATGAATAGCACTGAATGTATCTTCGAAACTATCATAAAAGCAATAATGGCTGTGGGGGAAGTTTATCAGCAGGAACAATAATAGCCTAGGACTCAGGTTTTCAAGGCACAATTGGGTGCTCAGCAGCTGAGACCTGCTGGAGTTGCCCACTGCTGTCACTCTCAGGGGCCAGCTCCCATGTCACAACCCACTGTGACTCCAAAGCTCACCTGCAGAAACTGGTCTTCAGGTACTCCCCATCACCTCTTTTGCCACGTCTCACCTTATTTTAAAAGCAACAGTGAGTTGTTACTATGGCTGTCATAAATCCAGCTGTTGCCAGGCTTTAAAGGGTATGAAGATCACCATGGTTCTGATAATTTGTGCTCCTCAAATTGGCAGCCTTTTGAATGGTGATTTTTATGGTGTACCTTATCTCACAACTCTCCAACTAGGCGAGGCCCCGAATAATATTTGAACTATTTGACATGGAAAAAAACCCCAAACATCCAAGTAAAAGAATAAAGTTCTGCAAGACCTTCTGGTAATGCTGTCTTTTCTCCGTATGGTTCTGATGGAGAAAGATCAGGTAGATGCTTGCATTTCAGATTTTCCCCGTTGAGTCAGTGTTTGACAGGAACTGGAAAGGAAGTTGGGTTTTTTTTCAGATGTCGTGAGCGTCAGGAGCATGGGATAAAAATGGCAGTGGTAATTTCACCTCAGAGGATAAAGGTTTTGATGGTTTTGTAGCTGTAATGGTTTCACCTGAGACCAGATTTTTGTTTTGTTGCTGTTGTTGTCAGAGGTTATGCTCACCAGAAACAGAAATTAGATTCTGTCTTCCTATGCCTCAGCTGAGTTCTATAATGTACGATTTGTGGCAAGATTTTGCCGTAGGCAATGGGATTTTTTTTCCCTGATGTTCTCTAAGAAATTGAAATTTATTACAAACATGGCTGTTTTTCTTACACCATTTCCTATTTCTCATCTTTAATATTCATTAGAGATGGTTTGTTCCATAAAATCCTAATCCTAAAGGAACTCAGTAGATTGTGGCTGTGTGCTTCACTGTGACAGTACAGATTCCCTATCTGCTAAGAAAAGCCAGAGGCTTTCTTGATCATGCCAAAATAATTTTGAGAGGAAATTTTTCCCATCCTGACTGGAATGTTAGTGTTTCCAGTATAATCAGCATATAATTTGGGAGTGGGGAAAAGGGCGTGAGAACTCCTCAGTGAAAATACTGGATTTCCAGCATTTGGAAGCACTGTATTTTAATCTGAACATTTTTAAAAGTTGATGAAAAAAAAAGCACTTGAAAATGTAAAAGCATTAAAGGTTAGTTTAATCTCTTTATTGAAAAGATGTTTAAGTCGGGCATTCTGACAATTTGAAGTTTTTGTTTTGCATGTATTTTCCTTTTTCCAAAAAGACTTCTCAGAATTTCCCCTCTTCTCAAGAACAGATCTAGTTTTGACAGATCACCATTTTTTGATGAAATAGCAAGTTTTTTTCAGACCATTCTCAGCCAGTGCTTCTGGGAGCTGTACATAGTGAACAACACCAACCTGACAAGCATAATTTCTTAATCCACGTCTGTGTCAAGTAAAGCATAAAAACAGGTGCATGTTATGCTAGAATAAAATTGTACATTCTATGGGGGTTTTATAGTTTTTTGGTATTACTAAGTAACAGTGTGACTTAAACCACAGAGCTTTGGTTAAAGCAGGTAGTTTTTTGCACTTTTTTTGAAGTGAGACAATTATGAAATCTGGCTAAACAGCAGCACACTTTTTTTTTAAGTGTATTGTTTTGTCTGGCATGGAAAGCACATACTATGTGCACAATTAACAAATTATTTTGTGGGGGAAGCATTTGTGCGCATGGCAGACCTTGGAGGATCCACACTCATGCTTTCAGAAAAAGCTGATTTTTTTTTTTCCCCTACCTTCTTTTTCCCCCATCCAGAAAGAGGGAATTACAAATTACACATTACAAAGAAGACACCATTTCTTAGGTGGGTCTAGACCTCTTACAGGTGAGCATAGCAGAAATAGATCCAGTTGCAGTAACCCAGAGGTCTCTGGTTGGCTGCTGGATCCCGGGCTTGGCCGCAGCCATGGTCTCTCATTTGCAGGTAAAGATAGAATGGAAGGCTGATTTCTTCCAGCCCTTTGTCACTGGGTCCTCTTCTGGGTGGGGACTTCAAAGCCAGGCAGCAGTGGCTATCCCAAAAAAAGTGTTGCTCCTGCAGCTGATGGGGCTTTCATGTCTTGCTGGGCTCTCCAGGTGTTCAAGGTGGTCTCCTGTTGGGAAGGATAGATAAATATGATTGTCTAGCAGAAGAACCACAATAGTACAGCCAGGACGAATATAACGCCCCCTACTGGCTGGACAATACCCTCACTTACAGAGGGGTCCAAAAGTCAAATGGACTGTTCCATCTCACCCCCCAGAATGTATGGTTCATCCCACACCTGTAACCCTCCCCTGAAACATCAAGTGTCTGTGACTCCATTGGCCCAAGTCTTGTTCCGGCCCACCTTGAAGCCCCCTGATAAGGGGTCTCCGAGGGGCCAGACGCGCTCCTGGAACTTCCCCTCCCCTCTTGGAACTTCCTCCCTCCTCCTGGATCCCCCTGCTCCTGGATTCCCTGCTCCCCCCTTTGTCTCTCCCGTGCCCCATCACCTCAGGCCCGGCCACGTGCTGTGTCTAGCAGCTCGAGGCAGGGCCTCTCTCCATCCCGAATAAACCTTATCCGCCAAGAGCAACCAACAGAGATCTCTCGTCTGTATCCACCCAAACCGTCCTGGAGCCCTCATACGTCTTTACAGTCTCCGACAGCCACCCATGACTTCTTGTCACCCTTGGGGCTACGCTGTTGTGCCACCAGGCCTGGGGAGCAGCAGCACACATACAGATGTTCACTTCTCACTTCAGTAGAAATGTGACAGGCTTTTATCGTAATTTCTGCATCTTTTAAATCTCACTGTAAAATAGTGAGCATGCAGTAACAGAAGGAAGAAAACTCTGGTTTTTTTGAACGCTTGTTACTTCTCTTCGCCTTGGCACACAATAACTGTGTTCTGTAAATTTGTGCAGTTTGGTTCTGCAAGGTCCTGAGCACCCTCCAAATCTTGTTGGTTTCAGCAGTGGATCAGCAGTTCACTGGCCTGAAACATCTGTGGGATAACTGCTAAAGCTTGGTTGGCTTCTTCTTGGATGCAGTTTTAGCCCCTGAGTGAGTCACTTTGTCCTCACCCTCACCCCGCTTCTGAGTGCTTGTCCTGCAGATGAGCAGTGAGGTGTTGTTATCTAAACTTCATTGCCTGAAAGGAGGTATGAGCAGAAGTGGTCTGATCATTTGAAATGCCTTGACTAGGTAATGATGTCCTGGACCAGGCTGGAAGGTAGCAGTTCTCTTGCTTTTTGTTTTATCTTTTGTGATTTTTTAGTATATTTCCACTCTCTGCACTAAATTTCAGATATAATATTTGATATTTTTTAGAAAGCAGATATTTTTCAGTGTCCTAAAATACAATTGTGCAGAAACTTCAAGCAGCCTGAAACGTGCAATTCCCATTTTCTTTTTGGTAGGATATAGGAAGAAAGATAAATGAAGTAACCAGTTATTTAGGCCTAAATATTATTTTCAACTGGATGCTGATGTATATCACTTGATTCCAGCAAATTCTGCCAAGCAAAGTGACTCTTCTGGGGTTTCTTTGGCTGACTTGTTTATTGTGAGTGAAAAGAATTGTTTCAATGATTTTCTTCCTCGGATGGTTCTGAATTGACTTTATTACTTTCTGAAATTGATTGTTATTGTGCCTATCTAGGCTGCCCTTGTATCTCACTACAGGTCTTTATTTTCAATGTGTGTGTGTGTATATGTATATTTATAAATACTTGAAAAACTTATAAAATGGCGTTACACATCTGTGCCACTCTGTAAGCTTATTTCCCTTCTTCTAGTAGACAAATCTTGAATGGCAGTGTAAAGTAATATCTTGTTAGTTTTATGCAGCCTGCAGATTTGATTAAAATGTGGTGAAAAAGTGCCTATAGTACATATGAGGAAGTGAGGGCAAGCCTTTCCTGAATCATGGTGTGGATCTCACATGAGGATTGCTGGGAGAAGCTGTAAAAGCTAAGTGATGTGTATTAATAGAACTGTGCTAAAGATCATGGGAAAGTGTTTTATTATATTCCTGAAATATTGTATCTTTTTTTAAAATAGTAATTTGAAATGGCAAGAAGAAAATGAAGTCTGGAAATTAATTTGATGTTACAGTGTAACTTTGCTGAGATCTTACGGTGGGGCCCATAGCACAATTAATACTTTCTTACACAGTGCCAGAGTGCTTGACAGCTGCACCATCTGCCTTTGTGTGGGATAGATGGGATTTTATCAATATTTATTTTATAATTAACCCCTACAGTGCTGGTCCACATACAGGGGGGAAAAGGTTTAGATGTTGTTAGTTACTGAAGGGTTGGAAGCAGGGTGTGGGCTGGGTATGGAGGGTGGTACTGCAAGGTGTAGATATTTTGGTAACTGCGAAGCAGAGCAAGAGCCCACTTTCACAGGGATTGGCTCTTCTGTTGTGGAGGGATATCTTGAGCTGTGAATACAGACTTTGGGTTAAATGAGCATTGCTCATTTCCACGTGCACCCACCTGTGGGAGCTGGAAGATGGGAGCTTAGCAAAGTACAGTATGCTAAGTATACCGGATTCCTGTGGTGTCTAGTCTCAACTGAGCTGAAACTGCATCTTCTTCTGTACTGATAGGGTTTCTTTCTTTTGCTTTGTTACTATTCTTACTAAACAGTTAGGAAGTTAGTTGTTAGCCAGGTCTCTTTTCCTTGACTTGAAGGGCAGTGACTTGGTGGGATAAAGAAATAGAGATTGTACATAACAATATTATGTACACTCATATATAACAAGACTAGCTATGCCACAGCAGAGTCTAAGGATATCCTGGAGCTGAGGTCTTCAGCCTGCCCCCGTTCTCAGTGATTTTGGGTAGATGACAAGCCAGGCTGTGCTCCTGTGATTGTACTTGGCTTTGGTGTATTGGTATTGCAGAGCTGTTTGTTCTGGTTGAATCATTAGGTATTAGTGATAGAGGCAGATACTGTGTGTAGGGTTCCTGTTGAATATTCCCCTTAGTGATTTTTAGCTTTAGCTGGGAGATTGGCATGTGACATGTGTTCTCCTCTGCTGTCATTACTACCTCCCTTCAGGGTTATCATTGAACTCAACAGGAGTTTTAGCACAGAGTTCAGGGAAAGTGTGGTAGGCCAGTGGACTCTTTGCAAATCTATCTTTTTAGGAAATAACTTTTTACACTGATGTAATGATATCTTAATAGAGCAATAGGTTGCAGGCAAAAAAACCAAAAGCACATGTACTTCTCAATTTTTTTCCCCTGCAAGATAGATGGGTAAAAGTCAGTTTAGGTTAATTATCTTTAATTTACCCTTCTTTCTCACAATTATTCAGTTTTGTTCAGGAGATGATAGGAGACACCTTACTCTTTCTTCTGTTCCAAGCAGTGAGAACATCCTTAGGGAAATTATTACTGGGTGAGGCTGAAGACTTGCTGACCCAGTGTCTTGTCTCTAGCAGTAATTAGCAACAGATGTGGTGATAGGAAAAGTAGTATGAGAACAATGGCACATTTGTGATCTTCTGATGTAAAGACTTTCAAATCTGGAGATAATATCTGGACTGTCAGGTTAAAGCTACTGGTGGACCTTGTGTTATGGGAATTCTTGTAGTTCTTTTTGAATGTCTCTGGCTTCTACACCATTCTACTACAGCAAGTTCCCTGACACTCTAAGTTGTGTGCAAAAACACATCACTGTGCTTGTTTTTGACCCTTGTATCTGCAAGTAGTTCATTGACTTCCCTTATTTGTGGTATTAGGAGGAGTACTGAATAATTATTTCCTGTTACCTATTCTGACCTTCTTCATACTCTTACCAATGCTAGGCATGTCAAAGCTCTCTCTCTGATGTCTATTCCAAGTTGAATTTGCTGCTTAATAATGGGGCTTTGTGCCTGTGGGCTCCTTTACCTGCATGCCTTGCAGCAGGATGCTGCCTCTGTGCTCTCTGACCAGTCCTCAGGGGTGTCATGGAGGCAAGGGGAGAGACAGAACAGTCACTTTTCTTCCCCCAATGTTTCCAGCTCTCTCAACTGGTGAAAACAACTAAGCTGGGGATCCTGTTTTTGCACTGACTTGCCATATGACCACTGATGAAATGCTTGGGCTCAGTTCTGTGTATCAAGAAGCCCCCCAGGATGGGAGAGGAGTGGGACCAAGGTGCTTGCATGCTGCTGTAAAGGAGCAATGATGCAACCAGAGGTGCTGACAGCATTACTGAACGGCAGCTTGTAGGGAAGATGCAGCACCAAATTGAGTATTGGGTTTTGGCTGAAGTCCCATGTCAGTCCTTGAACCAAAGGTCATGCTGGTTCTTCTGACTACTTGTGGACCTGGCCCATGATCCCTTCAGACCATGGTTTGTAGGGTGAGGACAGGAGCACTGAGCTGTCTTTCATTGCATGGCAGGCAGAAGAACCTGAGATGTGCCCCAACATTGTGGGAACTGAGCCTGCATAAGTGTGTAAAATAGCCTTGACTAGGGACTGCATTTATCTTCAGGCTCTAATTAAGATCTTTACATAGCCCTATCAGCTATGTATGATGGAAATAAGATAACAAGGTCAATAAACAGAGAAACTCAGAATTTCTGAGCCAGCCTGTTCAGAACACACCAAACAACAACCACACTCAGGCATTTGTTTTGAGTAAATTAAAGCAAGGCATAATCTGGAAAAAATGGAAGCAATGGGTATAGTTACAATTATCTATTTTCTAATCTCTTTTACACCTTGCTTCTCTTCATCCTGTTAGCGTGTTGGTGATAAATGAGGGCAGGATCATTGAACAACCCTGAGTACTGCTATGAATGGAGCTGATGTTATGTGCTGCTGTATTTTCAGAAATTTTTTTTCTTTATTCTTTCTTCACTTTCCTTGACTTGTCTGCTTTCCTCTGTCTTGCCCACCCATCTCTTTTGGTTTGAGAATCACATGGGCCTCTTGGATAAAGTGTTGAAAGCCTGTACTGATCACTTAAAGAATTTTCAACAGCTCTAACAGGGAGGAAAAAGTTCTTAAGGTCCTTTCTGACTGGTTGTTGTAACTGCTTTGCATTGTGACACACGAGTTTAACTCTGCTTTAGCATCCTTGTGTTGCTGGGGTGCCATTCACTGGGACTGCCACCACTCTAAAGTCCCTCTGCCATGTGATGGGGGATGTGCTGCAGAGCAGCAATGTTTGAGGGTCTGGTCTCTTCATCAGTGTCTTTCTAGGTAAAGATTTGGGGGAAATGGATTTATTAACAAAAAAGATAAATTGATTTTCTCTTTCATGCCCTTCTCCAGGCTTTGTGTTTCTTGTAGCCCTTTCTCTTTGTTTCTCAAGAAATCTCCATAGCAACCTCCCTGCTAGGAGGAGGAAAGAAGCCAGGCTAGGAGAAGCAAGAGACAGGCAGCCTGTGAAAATAGCCTGGGTGTGTGACAGAGTTGTAACGTTACCTTTGCTAATTCTGTTCCTGAAGTAACTGTTTGATTTGGGCTGTTTTTGAGAAAAAAAAGCATAAGGTGTGTGGTGGTGCCAGGGAGATCCACAAGAAGTAAGAATTACATCCATGCTGGTTTGAAGAGCCCTGGAATCCTTAGTCAAACTTCTCACTCAAAGTAGAATTGTTGTACATCAAGCAGCAGTGTGATAAAAAGGAGAAGAAAAAGAACACCACTCTCACCATCAAACTAAAAAAAAAGAGCTATATGCAAGATCTCAGAAGCACAAAAACCCTTTAATTTTGAACAAAATTCCCTTGCAGGAGCAGGGTGATAGAGAAAGGCAGATGTGAGTTTGTGCACAGACCAGCTTGGGGGATAAAGATAAGAAAACAACAGTAAAATTTCCTTCACAGCTTTTGGGAGAGCAGTGCCACTGAAGGTAGGACTGGGAAGCTGCTGCTGGAAACAGTGCTCAAGGCTGCCTGGGGTTTGGGAATGTCCTTGCCCAGGGCAGGGCAGCCCTGCTCCTGTTGCCCAGAGCCAAAGTTTGTGAGAAGGCTGCATTGACTCCTTCAGAGACGTGACAATTCTGACTCCAACATATAATTTCTGGAGACATTAAAGGCCCCCTAGCACTGAATCCACATCATGCATGAAGGTTAGCAGGAGGGAGGGTGGAGAGAAAGCTGACTGAAACACTCAGTGGAGGGCCGAAAACCTCATGCAAAAGCAGACCTGGGCTTCAGGAAGCTAGAGGGCAGAAGGTAGGGACCGACTTCCCCTTGTGTGTGTGGTGCTGGAGGAGGTTACCAAACATTTCACTACCATATTTTACAGGTATGCTGTGAGTCAACAGCATGTTCAGTTTGCTCTGGATTGCCAGGCAAGCTGCTGTATAATCCCAGCCATGCTGATAAGTGGAAAATACAAGCCTAGGGAAATGGGACCGAGCCTTGGTGAGATACAGTGCAATCATTCTGTACCTTGCAGGCAAATGCAAGCGTGTTGTGATACCAAGCCCGTGCAAGTGGAGAGGTTTTCGCCTGGAGGTTCATGCGGCTGACACACAGCAATACCACTTGTGGCAGGGCATGGGTGTAATCCTAGGACAGCCCTGGAGCAGGGAGGCAGAGCAGATGTCTGGGCCCTGTCCAGTAGCTGAATGTAATGTGGGAACGAAACTGAAGGATTTTATTGTCTACAGGGCAATGTAAATATAAAAATAAAAAGAAACCTCTTGTCTCAGCCTTGTCTCCTACTCCCTCCATCCATGCTTCCCTGTGGCTTCTGAGGGATAAAGTATTGGTGGAGAAATCATCACATCCTTTGAAACTGCCCCATCCTTGGTATGTGGCTGGCCAGCACCAAGAGAGCCTTTTAGATAACTGAGGAGTTGATCCAGTCCAAGGCCATTAAGGAGGATGCAGAAAAGGAGCTGTTATTGTTGCCAAAGAGAAAATACAACTGCTTAACTTGTGACAAAACCAGCCATGGCTCAGGGTTATGCCAAGCTAACCTGGATGAGTCCCTCAGCTTCCTGACTTCAGAAATTATTGTGGTCTGTCTGAACGTCCTCACCTATGGTGGAAGGGCTTTCAGCTGATGGCATTCATACAGCAGGAGCACAAAGATGCTGCCAAAATTGATCACTGGGGAGGGTAATATCAAGGTCTGTGCATTCCTAGAGGTGGGATGATGCAGAGTATGGGTAGGTTTACCCAGCAGAGCCAAGCTCTCCACTACTGATAGTCTCCAGCCTCCTCATTTCCTGCCTCCTCTCTCTGCTCTGGTACCCTTCCTGAAACAATTAAAGAGGAGGGGAAAGGAAACAAAACCCAAAAGCCCTCTCAAACCACTGTGTGGGATTCAACTAAACTTTTTTGTTGGGCTGGAATGAAAGGTTTCCTGTAGGTTCTCTTTGTTTATTTATTTTGTATAGCTGTTTTAAATTGCATTTAAATAAATTAAAAACTTTGTAATGAATTTGTTTTGTTTGGAAGATATTTCAATGGAGACAGTGTTGGCTGTGTGTTTAAAAATGAGAAGGGGACATATTGTTTAAATGTTGCTTTCCAGTTCTGGTGTGCCTTACATATTGCTTTGTTCAGTGTGAATCTGGATAAGTAACACATTTGATTGAAACAACTGCCACAGACTCCTGCCTGTGACTTTGAAGTTCAGTAAAATTGCAGCACCTCTTTTTTTAATTCTGATAATAAATATGGTTTAATTTTAGAAGCATGATGTTTTGTCATGTCCTTGCCTGGCACAAGATACATAGAAATAAAATAAAGTCTCATTATTTACCAGCTTCACCATGCTTTGTGTGTATGTGTTGAAAGGGATGGTGATGCAGTAAACAGTCACAAAAATTACTCTATAACCTAGGGGTCCTGGACACAAGCCATGCTAGGGGGAGGTGAAGCAAGGATAATTTCCAGGACTGTCTCCATGTGTGACAGAGTCATCAACAAGCATCAGAATAATTTTATATTTGATTGTGTTTTCTTGTTGCCACTGGTGAATAAGGATGGAAGCAGAAAAGGCTGCTCATAAAATGCCTCATGTCTGTCAGCAGAGCCTTTGAAATCTTTTTCCTATACTGCTGTAAGGGTGGGGCTTTTTTTGCAAAAGGTCCTGTCTCTCAAGAGTCCTACCCTAGTCTGGAAAGCCTCTGCTGACTGTGTTCTGAATCTGTCAGGCTTTGTGTCTGCTAGGACAGTCTCTTGCATAGTTCTGTGGCTTTTCTTTAAAGTTATCACTGCAGTGAGAGATATGGTTGGGTGGTGACAAGGCAGGGAAGACTGATGTGATGTTTTCCCCTCATGGATGTGTTGTGTTCAGGGACCTCTCAACACACTGCTGAAGCTTTCCTGACCCCTTTGGTTTTGGAGCAAAGACCAAGACTGAGCCAGTTTCTAAATTTGGCTCATGTTGTGTGTCTCCTGCAAGGCATGTGCTGGAATCCCTGTCTGAGAAAGAAATTAAGGAGGAGGGGGTGAGCACCTTGCCTGTAGGTAAGGAATGGGACAGTGGGTGAAAAAACAGTTTAAAGTTGGTGTGACATGATGCATTGTAGGCAGGTTTTTAGGAGCTGATCTTCCACTTTTTAGATGGCTCATTTGTTTAATTCTAGTCAGCTCAGTGAATTAAACTTTTTCGCTTCACCTCACTTAACTTCTGTGTGCAGAGAGGCCTAAGCAATTGATATGACTTTTGCTTTTTGTGGCTGTTATTTTCTCAGGCGTGTTTTTGATTACTGTTGTCTCTGTTGCAGTTGTTTGTTCTTCTGCAAAAAGGGTGCTAAGTACTTGTACTCTGTATGTATTTTATTCCTTTGTCCTCACATACATCAGTCTGCAAAAAAAAAAAAAAAAAAAAAAAAAAGACAAGGAGGAAAGTCAGAGAAGCAGGGTTCCCTCCTTGTAGACTGTTCTCCTCAAGGGATGGATTCTCATCCATCTCTTAAAAAGTATTAAAACCCGGAAAGCAATATGTTACTTTGGATTTTCCTTGGAAGTTACTTAATTAGAGATTACAGGAGAGTTGTGTCATTGAGCAGCTGAAAAAACAACAATGCTTGTGATACTGCATCTGTGCCATTTCTGTGCTTGGCTTTTGGCAGAAAGCCTGACTTGCCCAAGGTGTGATAATACTCTGGCAAGACAACGTGTGTTGTTGCACGTGTGTGACATAGATCCGCAAGCCAACAACGTGGCGTGGCTTCACCAAAGTAACCGTAACCCCAAATCCTTTTTTCCTCCTCATTTCCACCTGTAGCAGTAAACAAACACTTTGGATTTGATTTCTGTAACAATATTATGATGTGCCCATCTTATTACAGGCTTCTGCTGAAGCCTCAGTGAGTAGCAGCTGACGTGCTGTCTGCAGCCTATGTAGGGAGGTAGTGGCGGGGCTGATTGGCGTGCTGTCTTCTGCCTGTCTGCTGGTATTAGTATTCATATCAAAGCAAGCTGTTTGGTTCCCTTTCTCCTGGGCAACTGCAGGAGTCAATCACTGCTTCCTGTTGTGAATGGCAACAAAGAGAAACTGTTCATTGATTCAGAGCAAAAGAGCCCAAGTGGATGCTTTGATTTCAGAGAAACTCTGCCCTGCAAGGGATCTGCCAGGTTAGACTGCCAGTGTTTTTGCAAATTTTGTCCAAATTGTGACTTTAAAAGTGTTTTGGCAATAGAGTGAAAGACAAGCAGGCAGGCCTCGTGGATAATTTTACAGGAATAACTATGACTTTTATGTGCCAGTGTAAGACCTATGATTCCACGATGAGAGTCAGACCATAATTAAATATCTAACTCTCTAGTGGGGCTGTGCTGGTGGTAAATGGGGTATTGACTTTTGGCTCGTATTTTGACTATAACTACAAATACAATGTAAGGACTTCAGCAAATCCCAATGCCTAAGGTGGTAATGTATTCTGTAAATCAATAATATATTAGTAATAAAAATGACCAAAGCATGCATCCATTAGGAATTCATAATAGAAATTTGTTTAGGTTATATAGTGTATGTATTGATTGCTGCTATTTAAAGATGAAGTATGGCTTTGGAGCAGAGTGCTTATATATGTAGCTGTCTACATTTTAAATTCATTTATTTTTAATATGAAGATGGACTTGATAACATGGGAAAATATGTATGAATAGAAGTCAGTATTTTATATTGCAAGCTGTTATGGGGATATAAGTGTGCTGAGAAGCCACAAGTAGATGCCTGATGTTTCTGAAACCTAAATCTTGGACTTCAGAAAAATAATAAGTAATAGACGTGGCAGCCTCTATTTGCAGCTCCAGTCTTCCAGGTAGCTTAAGTTTTTCTTGGCTTGATGCCTTAACTTGAATTGCTTACCTGTCCATTTTGTGGTAGAGTGTATAATGTAACCATGTGTAATATAGCAATGATGCATATATATATATAAATACATAAATATATATATATATGTATATATATGCTGCTTTGCCTGACTGGCAGGGATGGATCTGGGGTAGAGAGCTGCCAGCAGAACACAGACCTTGCTTCTCTGCAGTGCTGTTGGCTCTCTGCAGCTCCCACAGCTGGCACCAGGGGCTGCACAGCCAGGGTTGGCTCATGGGACAATGCCAGGGTAGGGAGCACCTGCAGCACCATAACTGGGAAGTAGGATTTAGGGAATAATGCCCCCCAACCCATCCCAGTAACATCACACCAGGTCCCTACATGTCCCTGATGCTGATTTATTATTATAGGGTGTACACTAGCTAATTACACTGAGAGGGCAATTAATATACTTTACAGAATTACATTGGTTTATTAGATAGCCATAGTGGAAGGCTGAATTAAAGGAGAAAACAATAATAACAACAACAAAACAAACAAACAAAAAACAAAACCCCAAATAACAAAAAAAACCCAACCAAACAAAACCCAACACAAACCCCAAGACAGACAAACCTACTAAACACATAGTGCCATACCTACACTTTCATCCATCCTTCTAAACTTTGGCTAATTATTCCAGGTCCAGTGCATCTGCATTGTTACCTTCTGTAAGGACAAAGGGTGGAGAAAACAAGTCACATGCCGTAACTGCAGTCTTTGTCTCACTGCAGCAAATAAAAGATGTTTTAGATTTCACAGGTTATGATTCATTATGAAAACAAAGCAAGCCTCTGACTGAAAATCCCATCTGTTGGTTTGCATTAAGCAGTTCCCTTCCTCCTCCTTGCCATTTTTTATTCCTGGGCATTCAAGAAGCTGTCCTGAATTGTTTTTGTTTTTTTTTTTAATATTTGCAAACACTAATGGCAGTATACAAACCTTCTCTTTGTGGATAAGCTCAGCAGCTCTGCATAAGAGTTTACTGGAGGTTTTGTGTTGTTTGTTTTTTTTTTTTTTTGTGTTGTTTGGGGTTTTTTTGTTTTTTGTTTTTGTTTTGTTTTTGGGTTTGTTGGTGTTAACCTTTTTAGAGTGTGGTCTTTTTTGGGTTTTTTGTGGGTTTTTTTTTTTTTTTTAACTCTAAGTTAATAAATTCAGTAAGTTCCATGCAGCTAAATGCCCCTTTCCTCTTCCTATTCTCTTTCTCCCAAATCTACATAGATCCTTAAAATAAAAAGAAACTCCTATGATCAACAAGCCAGACTTTGCACAGTAGAGATCTCACCTAGTGATTTGTGAATCAGGCATCAGTGTGTTCCAGAAAAATACTCAGCCATTGTTTAGGTACTTCAGCTGATGAAGAACAAATCATATATATATAAGTAAACTATTCCATGGTAAATTGCTCACATGGTTAAAAATATTACCTTATTTCTATCTCCATGTATCAGACTTCAGCTTTCAAATCCTGGCTCTAACTTCCCTTTTTCCACTAGATTAAAGAGAAATATCTTCCCTTGGTAGTTACCTGCAGACTAGGATAGTCTTTTAGACCAGTTAAACAGTCTAAGTCATTTTGGTGGCTCACTTGTTAAACTGCCTTTCCAGGCTCTACTTTATTTTTTTTTTTTAGGTTCTTTTGCAAACCTTTAGAGTTTCTGACAAACCCTCTGAAGTGTAGGGTACCACAATGTGTACATATTCCAAGAATGAATGGTCTCATTGACACCATATACAGGGCAATTTCATCATCCCACTTCTACTTATTATTCACCTCCTCATACTTGCAGAGATCATGTTTGCCCTTTGAGCTACTGCATGTTGTTCAAATTGTTATCAGTTATGGAAACAGTCTTGTTTCAGAGTGACTGCTTGCAAGTCTGTGGTCTCACATAATGAGCACTTCTTGTATTCTTACATGGACTTGAATTTGTCTGTGTTCAAGCGTGGTTTGCTCAGGTATTGTGTAGATCAATCTGCAAAACCGACAAGGTCTGTGTCATTATTTAACATTTCATCAGTTTTTGCACTGACTGCAAATTTGGCAATCTCCGAGTGTATTTTCTCCCAGATCATCGACAAGTATGTTGAATGATTTTGGACTGATGAGGTTCTTGCTGAACTTCCAGAAATGCTTCAGTTGAGATGACAGTTCCACATTTGCATAGTTTTTGAGAAGCAACAGCTAATGCATTTTTCCTGTATGCAAGTGGACTTACATTCTGTTTTCACGCCTTTTTTTTTTTTTTTTTTTTAATGCTTGTTAGTAGCAAAGTGCCAGTGCCCAGAATCAAGCTAAAAAACAGCAGGGGGATTCCTAAGAGGGTTTGTGGTTTCTTACAAACTCCCATTCTTCAGACTGAAAAATACTGGGTGTTTTGCTATTAATATCTTTCCAAGTATCTGCTAGAACAGAAAGCATCTCTTTATCTCTGTGAATGATGAATAATTCTGTTTGCCTCTTTCTAAATACAGATTGGAGAGAGTATGTGAATATTTGTAGGGAGTTCAGTTTATGCTTGATAGCTGGTTCTTTCTGACCCACAAACCTTACTAGTTTAAAAACACTTTAAAAATTCTGCCAGCATATTTTTTTTAGTTTGATTTCATTAGTATTTTGAGCTTTTAGTGCTGCATGTTTGTGTTTCCAAACTGTAATTTGTACTTGTTAACAACACTGCTACAATTTTTTCTAATTTATTTTTTGTAAGTGAGGGTAGAATGTTTAACAAAAGAAGCCATTTCTCATGATTGCAGACTTGAGGGTTTTGTCATGTGGAAACAGACTTCTCAGTGTACTGTCTGCATTTTTAATCTTAAATCTTCCTCTCTGTTTAATTTTGTGCTAAATATTTTAACTTATGAGGAATTATCCTGGCTAAAACCATCAAATATTTGTATACCAGTCCAGACTGTGATCTTTGTTTCTTACCAAGTAAAATTGGTTTGTGTTTATTTGCTCATAGATGTCTGTGTGTTTGTTGATGCTGGTGGTTTTGGTTTTGTTTGTTGTCCAGTTTTTTAGGAGTCACTTTTTGTTTGTTTGTGGTTTTGGTTGGGCTTTTGTTTGTTTGGGTTTTTTTGTCTGTGATTAACACAATCAATAAGGACTAATATTAGAGTGCATCAGAAAGATTGACTCAACAATAAACTTGTTCAGTGACCTTTTATATTTTGCCCAGATTGTTACCCCTTGAAAAACTGTTGTTTTGTTGTTTTTTTTTTTACCCTACACAGTTTGAGGAGCTTTATTACAGAATAATGGGGGGCATTAGAAGAATTGTAAGTAAAAAAATTGGATTTGTTTAATGAAGATTTTTCCTTGTGCTCTAAAAATTCCTTTGGAGGGACAGTGGCAACAGAATTCTTTCCTCAAATATGAAAAGGGAGCACAAGATGATGGAAATATGTAACAATTTTATTCTTATAAAAAGCAGAAAATTCTAAATGAAGTATAAATAACTCTAGAAGAACAATGCTTGAAACAGATACAAAAGTAAATGGATATTACAGATGGAAGAAAAATCCTTGAAATAGATCCTTTGTTAAATATAAGTCAGATTCTATTAAGTGCACTTAAATGTACTGCAGCATAATTGCATTAGAAATTTAATTAATAATCTCCTAGAAAGTTTTCTGAAAACCTTTCTCTGGTGCTTTTTTTTTTTTTCCTAACTTGAAAGAATCCTTCAAAACCCTTCAGGGGCAAACAGGACAGGGGATTTACCAAGTGCTAAGCAAGTGCTTGATTTTCCAAGAGCCCTTTCTGTGCCCTTCATCCTGAGCATCTTCTGGTGTCACAGCAGTGCTGGGGCTTCAAAAAAGTCCTGCTCTCTCTCTCTCGCACCTTATTTATAGGGGAAGGAGGAATGGACTCTTCCATCAGGTTATTTTGCAAAAATATTTCTTTACCTTTGGGCCCACTATCTCTTTCTGATGAGACTGGGCAAATATATCCTGGTTGTTGCTGGCAGAGAGATCAGCAAAAGATTTACTTCTTTCATCTGCCTCTTGAAGGAGGACAATTTGAAACAAGTCTAGTTATTGTGTTTAAAAAAAAAAAGAAAACAGCTAAAAAAGAGTCTTCCATCCATCACAGTTATTTGCAGTGGTTTTCTCCTGAAGCAACTTAGATAATTTTTTTTCAGCCATATTTTCATTGAACTGGTGTGCATTGTGCCCTCAAGTGTAGCATCTGCACCTGTTTGTTACTCATGCTGCATGACTATCCTTTCGTGTGTCACTGTAGCTGCTGTTCCTAACCTGCACACATTTCTTCTTCTTTTTAAAGTATCCTTTGGGGTACGGACCCTCATTTTGTTCAGCGTGCATGTGGGTGTCTGCAAAGGAGCCCTACAGTTTCCCACAGAACAAGTAATGAGTCATGATATCCAGTGCTTTAGGGACTTCTATAAAGCAGGGCTGGCTTTTAACCAGTACGAGGTTGGTGTTTTGGTTTTTTTTCTGAGCACAGTGTCTCTGTGACTACTCACACTTGTTATTGCTACTTTTTAAAGTGCTTATTAGGCTATTGCTCACCGCTTTGAGGGATGGAGAGGAAGATTAATAATAACTTTTATCCTGGGACACCTCCACAGCTGGTGGAGTGTGGGAGGGCAGGATTCAGAGTATTTTATTGCAGATAAAAATATTGTAAGGTGAGTTTGGCCATACTGGTGTGCCCTGGCTGCCCCGGATCTGCAGCGGGAGTCCTGGTGGTATCACAGGGTAGCATCCCCTCCCTACTACAAAGCTCAGAAGCTCTCAGCTTTCACATGACTTTTCTGGGAGCAGTTGATAAGTCCAGGGCATTTCTGGGAGCCTACGGCTGCGCATTATTTCAGATTTTGAATTTTCTTTTTTTTTTTTTATGTGACTCACCATGAGATGGGGGCAATATTGCATGCATGTAAGTATTATATCAACACACACCCATATCTGGCTATATAGTGTTTCTGGAGCAATATTTGCACAGGTTATATTAGGTGGGGAAATAATTAAGCACAGTGCTTGCTGTGAGCAGGTGGCCACAATAGGAAACTTCATCACTCAAGATTATAGTTGTGTTTCCTAGAAGGTGAACCATTTTCTGGAGGTAATTAATTAGCTTTAATGTTTTGCTACTTTCTACTGGGGAGAAAGGGGTACTATGGGCAAAAATATGTGAATTCCTTGAAAATCTGATTTTACTTCAGGTATATTTCTACCTGGAACAAGTGTGCATGTTTCAGTTCATTCTTCAGATTTAATTCTCCTACTGTTCTTTAAGATTGAGGGGAAGTAAATAAAGTTGGCCACTGTTCAGATGAATGTAAATGCTTCTGAAAAGCTCTTTGAAGCTGCTAGTAACTTCAAGGTGAAATCCTTGATATTTTGAGGTCAAAGGAGGGAGTAAATGTCATACCGTTTGGGAGTCATGATTCAGAGGACTGCAAAGAATAACCTGGCACAGCCTACTTGTAATTCTTGTTAGTGTATCAGCAAAAAAGGATCTTGGATCTCATTCCAGTGTTCCTGGGATGGAGCTCATATGTGGCATGCTATGGAAAACCTCATCCAGGAGCTGGGGTCTGGGTTATCTTTGAAGATTACTCACAGGTAATCTATAGTAAGAAGTGCCCATTGGTTTCTCAAAATTCAACCCCAAATGTCATTTTGCCATGTAGAAAACTATGCTTGCCATTTTGCCTGTTTCAAATGCACCATGCCTTCCTAAAAGTTTAAGAAGTGCATATATAAAAAAAAATATAATGGATTCAATTCTGAGAAATCAGGATCTTAAGGTAGTCTCAAACTTCTGTATAAAACTTTCACAATTACGGCTAGTGGAAAGAACAAATTCCCTGTTGCTATTTATGGCAGAGACTCAAAGGAGATCTGATGGCCAGAACACAAAAAAATCAGTTAATAATGATCTGTGATTTAGCCATATTACTTCCTTGAGATGGCTAGTCTTTGAGGTCTGGGTAACTTCTTGTAAAATGAACACTAAAGGTGTCATTTTTGGCCTTTGATGTAAAGCAGTTGTTTTAACTGGTTAATATTTGAGGGCCCAGATTTTTCTACATATATTTGAGTGTCAGGCTATAGTACTTTGGTAGAAATTCTTTTTTGCCTGCCTATCTTTTCTCTGGACAATTATCCACATTTCACATGGTTCTCCTTTCAAGTACAAACTTAAAAATAGATTTACTGCTCTGATAAACAAGTCTGTAAACAGCACAAAGTAATCTCCACTCTGCTGTTCATCATTTCTGTAATAATGCAGATATTTCTACAAGAGCTTTAATGTTCCCCTTCAGATGCTTTTCAGGGAGCTGTAAATCAAAATAAAAACTTTGCGAAGGTATTTCTTGCTAGCAATCTATTACTTGCAGCTCTTCAGCAAAACTCCAAATACATCCAACCTGTCTAATTTTCAATAGCCTTAGGAGAATTGCTGAACCTCCTGAATTCAAAAGGTGTCTTCCTGAGTTTTTTGGTTTTTGGGGTCAGTTAGTTACTGTGGTGTGGTTTTATGTTTGGGGTTTCCGCCTTTCTCTTTTTCTCCTCCCCCCCCCATTTTTTTTCTCCTATGGTGAGATAAAAGTCATATTTGGGTTCTGTCTCATTTTAATTTGGGCTCTGTTTCATCTCCAACTTTTGAGAATGCATTTGTGTCTTGGCCTCTGCCAGCTGTCTTTGTCCTGCTTCCTGTAGCCCAGGGTTGCCACCTCCCAGTTCACAGTGGTACAAGATACAGAGAAGAGCACTTGGGAAATATCCACCTAGGCCACCACTAAATCCTCCTGAAGCCCATTCTAATGGCAAACCTAAATTCTAATGGCACTAAAGTAGCTCTGCTGGTAAAAGGAAAGGTAGTCTTACTTTGTATTATTTTAGAAAGGGTATGAGTTTAAGCTAGTGTTTTAAATGGGAACAAAAACAAACTGTAATTTTAAATGAACCTATTATATAATATGAAATCTGAAAAATATTATCAGATTATTTTTACTTAATGTTCTTAGGCTAAACCCTTGATGCTCATTTATCTGTCTCTATGATTATACCTGTTATGGTGGTTTTAAAAGTTTTTATATGAGATTAAAGATTAGCCTTACTAATGGCTACAATTAAAACCTGCACTGGAGTAATTTGAAATGGGGCAAATTCTGTTATTACTCAAATCCTGCTCACTTCACCATGTTAACTTATGCTGTATTAAATTTGAAAAACCAGGGCTATTCAGCAATGTCAGAGTCAAAGCTTCACTCATTTGAGGGTTTTTGTTGAAGACAGTAGAATGCCTGTTGTAACAACAGTAACTTTGAGTTGGGTACGAACTAAGTGGCATGCTTTTCCTTACTAAGGACCCAGGGAAATTTGTGGTGTATGGATTTGTAAAAAAGACTGGTCCCTGTGGCTCAGAACCTAATGCTTATTTTATTGAGAATACAAATGTCTCAAAGTTACGGACCAAGATATAAAAGCTAGATAGTTTAATAATGTCACTGTTAGGGAGGGGAAGTTTGCTATAAGGTTGGTTATAGAAATTAAGCACCACAGTGCAAGGCTTTAAACTCTGACACTTCACTTGTGTGTGCACAGCTTTCCTACACTTGAAAGGTAATTCATGTGAAAGAAGCCTATAGATTTACAGAATGTTTGTATCTAATGTGTGCCTTTCATTACAAATTAGATGACCCACTGCAAAGGAAAAGATACTTGGGAATGGCTTTTTTTCTGTGATAGGGTCTAAATATTAATGCACTTGGATTCAACCTCCCCTTGGGGGCCACGTTTTATTTTTCTGTTGTTCTCAACTTTTTTCTTGTGCTTTAATTAAATTCATTAAAATGACATTTAGCTCAGGCTGGGATTGTGTTTCTGACCTCTGATTTGAAGGTAAGTTGTTATGTTTTTTTGGAAAGCACTCTAAATTCAGCCTCTCTTCTTTCTAAAAATCTTTTGCTTTCATCCTATGACCTGAGGTAACCTTTTCTGAGCTGATTGAACTCTATCAGCCCAGCAGAAATTCCCCCTTTCCCTTCTGCCCCCACTGGTTTAGTTTCTTGTTGAATTATTGACTTGCTCGGTCTCATAGAGGAGTCCACCAAGTACAGAGCTGGAAGCACGTCCAGCAGTGGAGCCATGGCTGGAGATAGGAAGGTTTGTTTTGGGGAAGAAGCAGGATCCCTTTTCCTTTCAACAGCACTCTCCTGGCAGGTGCGCATACCCCAGAGCAGCTTGGAAGGGCAGTGACCCTTGGTGACGCCTTACTCCGGTGTAGATATCAGCTTCAGAAGTATTCACCTCTCCTTGAGGGGGAATTAGGTGAGGATGAGGCCTTGTTGAAAGACAAGTTTGTTGCAGTTCTCAGAATTTCCCATCACTCACTAATGAGACAGCAGCCCCTGAGTCCCAGGACGTGGGAATGGAGGAGGAGAAAAGAAGTGCGGTATTGCTGGTGCACTGCTTCCTCCCGCAGGTCTGGTTTGGGTCTCCCTGGCTCAAGCTGTCTTCACACGGTGCCTCAGTCACCTCCTCCTGTCAAGCTCCTCCATTCAGAACTACCATCTTGATTCTGTGGTTTTGTTCTTTTATCACTTCATTTTCTTCTCTCCCAGGGCTTTGAAATGACCAATTTCCCCTGTGAGCACTCTCCCCTGAGTGCAAATGCATCCACTTCACTCTTGTTGTCTTTTTCTTGTGATCTTCCACAGTAATCTTTGCCTACTGTCTGTGAGTTTCTTTTCTCTTCTCTAGGAAGATACTAAGAGATTCTAAGATAATCTAATGCTTCTTATTCATAAGGAAAGCTTCTCCATACATTGAGTAAGGCTTTGGGAATGTAAGGGGAGAGAATAAGGATATCTATCAGCTGAGCGTGGCAAAGAGATGAGGAGTATTGGTGGTATGAAGAATGAGCAATAGAATTACCCCAGGATGTAGCTGTCTGGTGCTTAATCCTCTGGCTTCTGTCCCTGGGCGTTTTGGGCATCCAGAGGATGGTGGAAAGAGCCAGTTGCTTGTCCATCACTGTTTTGAGATCTTAGGTGCCTAGAAATGCAGAAAGAGATCTGCCATGGAAATAAAAGGTGCTTTCCATGAGGCTTATGCATAGAGACAGAGGTTTCCTTCCGAGATGTTCAGTTTAGGACTTGACTAGGTTTTGGAGTTTTTTGTGCTCCTGTTTGTATTCATAGTTTTGTCACCTTGGAAAATTCACTGATTGTGTGTGAATTTTGGCAATCTGTACAGAAAATCCTCTCTATGTTTGCGACAACCTTCTGTGAATCCTTTTAATTGTGGGAGAGAGCATCAGGTGTAGACTTGCCATTGAACATCTCTTTTCACTCATAGAAGCTGGGAGCAAATCCCTAGCAGGTGTCCCTTGAGTGTTATAATGGAGATAGAGTAAACAATTTATGGAACCATAAGATAGTTGACCTCAACCTTCACATAAACAGCACAGGGAAATACATGAGGGTTTTCTGTTTTTTAGCTTTTCTTTGGTTGCTTTGATGGGGTGTTGCCCAGCCTTCTGTTTCTCTTCTGTCTTTTTTTTTTGGTACTCCATCCCACCATGTAAAAAGATGCTCTTTTAATTTGTGAAGTGTGCTTGCTGGCTGAGGGGGATCAAAGTGAAGGTGACCAAAGGAAAGTTGCAAATTGCTTTTGATATCATCTATAAAATAAAAAAGCCCAAGATGATCGAGGAGGATGTGGGTATTTGATTCATGTGCAGAAATCAAAGCTGAAGCCACATGCTTCACTTTCTGAGGATGCAAGTAATTCTCTTCTTCCTTTCCATAGCAGATTTTAGAATGCTTAATGGAGGAAGTAAGGTAATGTTCCTATTTTGATAGATGAGACAGCAATCAGCTGAGGCACATAGGGGAGAGCTGGGAATAGGGACCAGGACTGTCCCCCTTGCACTGCTGATGGCTTCAGCTCTTTGGCCACACTGGCTGCATTCAGTCTTCATTTCTTCCCCAGGGAAGCTGGATATGGATGTTGCAAGCATTTGCTGCAATGTCTTGGCATCAGCCTTTTTCTGTAGGGTCTGTAGGATTCGCCTTTCTTTAACCCCACTGCAGGCAGAGAGTAAAAGAAAGGCTTTTCCACCCTGTCCCTCTAGAAAAGACAAAGTTGCTTGTGGGTTTATTATTATTTTTATTTTTTTTTAATTGTCAGCATCTGTAGAGAAAGTGGGGGCAAAAGAATGGTACTTCCATATCTGTATATTAATCATAAGATTTCAGAGAACTTTGGACCAACCAAGCCATTTTAAGCTTGTCAGAACTTTTTTGTGAAAATATTGGGAAGTGGGGATGTTGGATGCCTGAGAAATGTTTGTTGTCACCATCTTTAACTCAAGGTTGTTGAAAGGCAAGCTTTCCACTAATATTGCTCTTGAGATCAGAGGCCAGGCATAATTTGGATTAAGGTAAAGAGAGACAGAGGAGAAATACTGGGCAATGTCTGGATGCAAACAATTTACACAATAAGGAGACTTTAAGTAGGGCCCTGGTTTAGAAAAGTACTTCAGAATGTGGAATGGGCCCTACAAAGCCCATTGACTCGTTGACTGAAAAGAATTTCCACTCCTACCCACACCTGAGTAGGCTTGAGAATAAGAGGAGGGGGACTTTTTTTATTATTACTTTATGATTTTTTTTCCCCCACAGAGCCAAGGTGAATTGTGGGAGTATTAAATACTGCAAAATTACAAACACAGAAGCATTCTTCCAAATTATGAGGAAGCCTCTTCCCCCAGCATGCTCCATTTGCACTGGGGAACTTAGCTGGGCAGACCAAATCAAATACAGAGCTTGTGAAAATAATTATCTTTACAGTTCCAGCTTTTGTTTCACGGCCCTTAAATATGCACTAAATTTTTGCACTGAAAATTCTGAGCCAGAAAATGATTTTACTGGGAAAATTGCATATAAAACCTAATTAAAAGCATCAACCCACACTTTTCTTTTAAAAGTACATCTATTACCATCATGCCTCTGAATGTAACAGAGCTCAACAAGTCTCTAGCAGCCAAGGAAACACATAATTTAAAGGCTATTTCGGCATTTGATTAAGCACACAGTGATAACTACAAGCCCGTGCCCTGCAGGCAAGACAAGAGGCAATTATATTCTGAGGTCAAAAGCGAGGGGGAGAAAAAGCACAAGATTTTGATGACTTACTTAATTTTCCAGCTCCTGAAATTAGCAGAGACAAAGGAGTTCTAAATCGCCCAGATAAAATCCTGTCATTATCTGTTGCCTTTTCACCCTCTGCTCTCACTTTGCCGTGCAGAAGCTCTGGAGGATTATTTTCCACCAAATGGCTGCACCTAAAAAACTCGAGTTGGCACAGATTTAAACGTTAAAGAATTTGAAAAACAGTCTTTTAAAGTTCTGTATTTAGATGGCTGTCTGCACATAGGATCCTGGAAAAAGACACCTGTTTTTCAAAGTAGTGAGCAGCCATCAGCTTCTCTTGACTTCAAGCCAACAATTAGGTCACTTATTTAGGAGATTAAATAAGGAGCTCAGTGGAGACTGTGAAGATAGGGAGCTGCTCAAAGGAGAGAGAAGTGTATTAATGAATTAATACAATCGTGCTGTGTATTTCACAGATGGGCTTGGATGTATCTTGTTTCACAGCAAAAAGCAAAACATCTTTTCTCCTTACAGGAAAACCAGTAAAAATGATTAAGTAAGATTATCATATAGGGGCACAACAACAAAAAATGTGTTTACAAGGAGATAAACAGCCAGGCTCTAATCTTCCTTCAGAGTATTTATTGCAGATACTGAATTAGAAAAAAAAGCCATGCAGAACGAATGATTTGCTGGTCAATGGCAGGATGGAAAACATGTGCCTATTGCTTTAGGAGAAAGCATGATAGGAGATCGTGCTCTATTACAATATTCATCTGCTTCTAGTTTTTCCGGGCTGTTAAATTTTTTATGCTTTTTATCCAGAGAATAAATGTAAATATTGACTCCATGATACCACAGGGAGGTGTCTGTAAGTGAAAGCTGTCTTTCTTAGAGCAAGCAGTCAAGTGATTGTGTGAAAGGAAAAAAGGTGAATTCCAGGAAGTTTAAAGCTGAATCTAGAAATGTTTGTATCTGTCCAGAGATCCTTTACTGGAGAATAGAACATGAGCTGTTGTTTTGGGGAAGGGGTGCTCAGCTTTGTTTTGGGGTGTTTGGGGGACATCCTTGGAACTGATATGCATCCAATTTTAGTAGATCAATGCTGCAAAGTCTTATGTACAGGAGACACACTCATGATACTAGAAATGTGTTCTCATTTGAGGTAGAGAAATCTCTTTAATGGTTTTGTAACTTGCTGTTAGTAATTCTTAAAGTCTTATTTCCAGCAAAACACAAGTGTAAAGGTTAGTTGTATTTGTACAGTATAGCTGCTTGACAAATACACCAGGTTTGTATGGGTCAATTCTCAGGCATTTAATTTTTTGTGATTTTAAGCAGTGTTTTCCTCAGCCTTCACATGTTTAATGTCTTTCTTTGATATAGAATAGTTACTGATAAAAACCCAAAGCATAAGAATTAAGAGAAAAATTACACTTTTTGAATCGTGTGGCTCAGATGTTTTGTATACTGTAGTGGGAACTGTAAAAAGTAAAGTAGTATTACCAACTCTCTTTGCCCTTTGTATGGCCTATATTAACCTTCCAGAGAAAAATATCCAAATTGCCAAAGTACTGGGCAAAACCATAGCTCCAAACAGCTAATATTGCCTGTAAACCTAATTTTGTCATTTTTTTGGCAGTTAGCAGGAGTCATCTAAGCACATGGCAGAAGGAGGGAGGGCCCTTGGCCTCAGCATTCTGCCAAAAGCTGCTAGAAACCTTCTGCCTCCCATGTCACCAATCTGCTCAGGTTTAGCATAGAACAGACTTGAGAGGAGAGCTCGCCACAGCTATTTTCCAAAATCAGAATCCTGGCATCAGAAGTTTTTTGGTCAGCACTGGCTTTCTGCCATAGAGTCCAGTGTTTGACAGAGCAGAACCTGCTTCAGGCTTCTGTGGACACATCCCTGTAAGCAAACTTAATACCTCTTGAGGTTGTTTTTAGGACAGGCTAAAATTGCTGAGCTCTGCTGACTTTGCTTTTCTGGCTGGCTTATCTCTTCTATCAGATGTTGTCTCTATCACTGTACCATCCTTGCTCCACTCACCTCCACCTGACTAGTGATATCAAGCCAAGGGTAAGAATGAGGCAGTGCACCTTAGAGGTTCACGCTTGTCCTCCTCATTTTCCTCTTCCTGTAACAGGAGAAGCAGTGAGAATTTATTGCATCACATAAATCTATGGTGCAATGTGAGCCCAGGGCAAAACCGTTTCTCCGATCTCAGGGAAGGAGACATCTCAAGTGATCCAAACCCTAAAGCTGTGCTAATTGTGCAAGCTATTATTCAAGAATAAGCTCACATCTGTCTTGGGAGTTTGGCAATTAGTCCACAACTCTGGCGCACCAGGGAGGGTCTGATATCAAAGTAATCCCTGCAGATTTACAGAAATTGGAATCTGAGAATCTGTCCAGTGATACATAAAGGAGGCAACTGACAATAATGGAAGGATTCATGGAAGTTAATGTGTTGGATTGCAGACAGGGCAGCCTTGATATAGTCAAATGGTATTCTGAGAAACATCAGTATCATCTTATTTTCCATAAGCAAACTTACTGTGCATATGCCATGGGGAAGTTTTATGGAACAAACCAGCAGAACGTTGGATGGGATTTTTGGTTTAGAGGGAGGGTATTTTGGTGTTTTTATACTTTGGCCAGGAGGAAAGGGAGCTGTTTAAAGATGCCTGGTATGAGATGGGCTATGGATCTGCTGGAGGCTTAAACCTATCACCATCACATACAGACAGGCTTGGGTTGTATGCTGAGTGTTCTGGTTGGAAGTGTGCAAATGTAGCTGGGAGGGCACATCATCCCTATATCTGGAAACCTATGTGGTTCCTTTCATTCTTGTGGAATAAAGAAGAAATGGAGTTGGCTTTTATTTCAGCTTGTGACTGGTGTGCCAGGCTGGGAAACAAGTATTTGGTTCCTAGCATCACAACGGATTTCCCATGAGATCATCTGGAAGCTGCAAAACCCTTCTGTGGTTGAACTTGGAAAGACAGTGCTGTAGCTACTTCATAGGGATATTTGGGGATTAATAGATTCACGTTCGTCAAGCTGTTTAAGATCTTTGGATCAAAGAGGCTGTAAAGATGGGAAATACAATTGCTTGTTGTCAAGTGGCATTGTTTACTAATACTTTAGGGCTTTTTTTTCAAGGCATCTCAAAGCGTGTTTCTTTTTTTTTTTTTTTTCTTTTGCAAACTGTAGCCTGGATTTCTTTTAAAACAGGTAAGATTTCTGAGAGCTCTTTAATTTCACAAGTATTTGCCAACTATTTGACCATCTAATCAGATCCAATGCAAAGCCAAGACTGAACTTAAATCATCTGGTGTCCCATAAATTGGCCTTTCCAAGTATCACTGTAGGGCCCAAAATTTGGGATTGGTGCCAGAACCTGCAGGCCACCCCCAGGCATGCTGCAGGCTACAGCAAAAGCCATTAGGATTACTTTTTTCTAAGGGCTAAGAAAAGGACCAGGAGCAATACAGATGTTATTACATCTGCTGTGGGACAGGTGCAATCTTGCTGAGCAGGTGGGTTCCTGGTTCTTGGATTGCTTGTTGTCATAAAATTTTCTTTGCTTGTTCAAGTACAATGCAGGACTGTAATTTTATATATCAAAGCCAAATAGTTTTTCACCTGGTAAGTAGAAATAATAACGATGCCATAGTTGCCATTTACCTATTTCAATAAGGGATTTCTAAATCCCTATACAAAAGGAATCTTTAGATTGTCTTTAAAATGAGAAAATCAAGTCACTGAGTGGAGAAATGGTTACTCTGGGCAGCCAGCAAGCCAGCAACCAGACCCCTTTTCTGCAGATCTAATCTGAATGGTACCGAAACTATCTCAGCACAGCATATGGGTAAAGCCTGCTGCTGAACGTGATTCCGCTTTTAATTTTAGCCTTGGTGTGGAAAGCCAGTGTTGACTGTGTTTCTGTGTTAATCCTTGCAGCTTTCAGCCGTGCCCCAGTGCCCATGGCTGTGGTCCGAAGGGAGCTGTCCTGCGAGAGTTACCCCATTGAGCTGCGCTGCCCGGGAACGGATGTTATCATGATCGAAAGTGCCAACTACGGCAGGACTGATGATAAAATCTGTGACTCTGATCCTGCTCAGATGGAGAATATCCGCTGTTATCTGCCAGATGCCTATAAGATTATGACTCAAAGGTATAGTACTTAATATTCTTTGTTTGCTGACTGTCGAATTTTTCATCGGGAGTGTACACACTAGTTGTGTGTGTGTGTTTGCATGAGAAAATGCAAGTGCTTAGTCTGGATGTATGTGCACAGAATTACAGCTATCATTGCTAAACTGTGGGTTTAACTGAGTTGGTTTAGCATTACGCAATATAAATAACATTTCCTGTAAGTACTGCTCATCAGTCATCTTGATTCTCCCTGCGTCCCAGTTTTCCCTCTGAAATACCTCAATATCAAGGCTCTTAATGAATGTAGAAGTGAAATCTTTCTCAAAATGCATATTCACTAGTTCTTGTGCTGTGTTCAAACAGAATGCCAGTAATCTCCTTGAAACAATCAGTATTTTGTGTTCAGAATAACATTTACAGTTTTCAAAATGCAAAGAGGCATCTGCATCCTTCCTTGTGTTGCCAGGCTTAGTTTTAGGGAAGATCTGAATTTCTAGTCAAGCATTGGTATTCTCATTGATGAATTGCTAAATTGCTCAGTAAGAACTGTAGCTGTTATGTGTGACTGCTGCATTTGGAAATGGTAACTGAGATGCAGTCAGACATGTAGACAGACTCCCGTCTTGCTTGCAAAGCTAGGGCCTAACAGTTTATTCCAATATAGAGGTATCTTGGTTATGAAAAGCCTTTTAAATGTTGCTGAATTTTTAAAGATATTTTCTGGCACAAATGGTGTTGTGGGAAGGATTCATAAGTCACAGCTCTTGACATGTAATTGAATTCAGTAATACATTCTTAATGCATGAAACATTATTTAGTGCATTTGACTGTTAATCAGTAATAGAGATTAGTATTTCAAGGTATTAATAATGGCGTTGGCATAGGCAAACTGTTGCTAATTGATGTCATGACAACATGTTTGGGTCCTAACAGTGACCTCATGGCTTAAAGCAGTGCAGAGTTTTAATGGAGCATCTTGCTGTTGTTTGCTGTGAAATGTTTTGCACTAAAATGGACTGGTGTGAGGAACATGAGTTGCAGCTGTTTTTCACATGCTAACTGCTATTTTTGACTTTAGAAACTGCTCCATGTTGAGTATTTAGGTCTCAAAATGTTGAGAAGTCTCATGACAAATGTCCCCACTGCTGCATGTGGCTCCTCTAAGACCATTCTTTAAGTTGGACCTTCTTGGTTAGCTGGTTGAATTCTTGTTTATAGGGTTGTTTCAGCTGCATTTTTGAGAGAAGTGGTAGCAACGTACCATCAGCCATTCCCTTGGATTCCGTGTGGTTTTAGTGGAATTACTGTAATTCTCCTGTTCAGGTTGTTAGTGGCTTCAAGCAGAAACCCTTAATCCTCTGCATATTGGCAGAATAAAGCCGTGTCATCCCCTTTGTGGGCCATTACAGAGTCCAAAGTATTAATATTTTTATATATCTGTATTTATTAGTGTGCTCTAGGCTGCAGCTCCCCAGCCAAATGCACAGCTCTGCAACCTTCTGGTCAGTCCCTGCTTACAGCAAGTCTGCAATAAACATTGGCCCTTGGGTCAGGGAGGGCACACAATTTTCTTCTGTGCCCGTAACATTGCAACGAAAATTTCTGGTGATTACTCACCTCCACGTATCATCAGTGCAGGCTCAATGGCTTAGCAGAGAGTGGCCAGGGAAGCTCATCTCTGTGGCAAAATATCTGTTCTTCCATTTGGACAGCAGAAAATGGTGCTGAAGAGGATGGACACTGAAGGTGGGAAAAGATGTGCAGTCCTATTATTGGGTACTATTGAGTTTCTTGAAAATAAATATAAGCCTGATGTTAAAAGACATGTAAAAATTGAGAATATACTATACTTTGCATTTTTGTCAGTCTTGTGGTTTTTTTATGTCTCCATTAATTCAGAGAGTTGAAACAATTTAAAAATAACGCCATTAAAATGAAATATGTTCTTAAGATGCAAACCAGTCTGTCAGCTCACAGCTCAGACTACACTTTACAGCTGAGCCTCTGAAAAAAAAAATAGTCCAAAAGGAAAATTGTGACAGCCTAGTAGTTGTGGCACTAACTATGGCATTTTCTTCTGAAAATGTCTACCTTCAAAATTAATCAATCTAGCAGTATTTGGGTGGGTTTGCAGATGAATGCAGGCTCTAACACAGTGAGCTTGTCTCTTTGCTAATGCTGCAGGGTGGGGGAGCAGCTGCTGGGAACTGAAGATTGTCATGACAGTGAAACCTGCATGGTAACTGAAGGTGCCTGTGTATGGAAAGAAAAGTCGTATGTGCAGTGTGTGCCTATTGTGCATTCATTAATTATTGCATTCATAAATACACAGTCTCCTTCTAGACTCTATAGGAAGTTGTCTCACTGCTGGCAAATTTTAATCAGCAACACTGCATGGCCAACTCAAGACTCATTCTGGTGTGGCTGTGGGGAAGGAGAGAGGGAAAGATGGGAAGGAAAGTGTGTGTGAGACAAAGGTGGTGCTAGTGTGTGAGCTGAGGCTGTGAGTGAGCAGATTTATGGTAAATATTAGTGATTGCTCCCCCAGCCCACCCCCACCAAAGAAAACCTGGAAAAAAAAAAAAACAACCCAAAATCCCAACAGCCTGAGCTAACATGTTCCTTTCTTCTGCACGCTTATGTAAAGTAATTTTTGCAGATGACTACATGAGGTTATTTGAAAGGGTAAGGCATAAATCTTACGGTGTGTTTGTGGAGCCCCTAAGCAGAGGGAACACAAGGAGTTCTTGCTGCAAGTATTGCCCTGAAACTCTCTACAATCATGGGAGTATTGCTTGAAGTAAAGGACATTTAAACAGCTTGTAGGGAGCTATTTTATAAGACATTAAATCTCTGAGACCTACTTTAGGTTTTTCTTTTTTATTTATTTTTTTAAATTTTGCCTTCAAAATTTAAAAGCTCCTCCTTCAAACATCTGAGCAGCTGTTGTCCGTAACAGCTCAGAAAGTGTGCTTTATGAACTTAAGTTTTTCTGATGTGATTAGAAAAAAAATGTATTTTGTACCATGTTTTCTTTGGAGAAGAATCTTTACAAGGCCTGTAACAATTAATTAAATTTTAACCATGCCCATTTTAAATTGAGTGCACTGTACCATGGGAGACTTTACTATGGCCTCCCTTTAGTGACGGTGCCACAAAATTAACATATCATCGATTCCAACAGCCAGGGTTCTCTGTGAGCAACAGGGAAAAATGGCCTTCTATTCCTCTAAGAGTTGCCTTTGTTTTTTTATAGTGTTAACACAGTTTAGTATATTAAAAACACCCTAAAGGAAAAAGGGGGAAAATAGCTTTTGGTGTGCTCTCTTGAATTTCCTGTTGGTGGTTCCCACCAAGGAAGCATCCTGGCTTGCAAGCAAGGGATGGAAGAAGAGGGGATCAGAGTTTTGCATGTATGTTCACAGAACTTTGTGCTGTCAGTACAACCTTTGCATTTAACTTTGACCTTTGGAACATTCTTTTTCATAGACTTTAACCTCAAATGTTGTAAAGGGCGGGGGGAGAGGAAAGTCCAAGTAGGAACAGTAGGAAGTATCTGACATGTAGGTACACATACTCAGAGCACTTTGATTTTTTGCCCTAAAGGCAAGAGCAAGGATTTCCTTTTGCTTTTTGGATCCTTGTCTACCCCAACCATTGTCTGCTACTTTTAATCTGGATGAGGGAAAGGAGGGATGGAAGAATGAGGCAAAATGACAAAACCAGAAGGCAGAGCAGAAGAGACAGGAGAAATATTCACATGTCTCAGCAATTTTTCTGAAGATCAAAGCAAGATTTTTTCTGCCCTAGAAGATGTGGAAGGCTCTTGCTGAGAAACTCTCATGCCTATCAACAACCAGAGAGATCAGTTTGCAAAGTAGGCAGTGTTTGACTTTTGCCAAGGCAGAGCCATGCAGAGCTCTTGTATGCTGCTCTTACCACTTCTGGCTTGGGGATGAGGGCTGCTGAAAGCTGCTCAACTATCTCCTCGATTTTCCCCTGAAGGGAGGCACAGCTGGGAGGTACTAAATGTCCTGCTGGGCCTGCAGTAGCTTAGCTGAGCTAATTTCCTTTAGGTTTGAGTCTGATCTGCATGGTTTGTCCCTGTGGTTTCAGTGTTGACATCATTGATGAAGATTACAGGTCAAGACTTAAAAGGAAAAAAAAATTGAAAAAGTGCAAGACTGAAGGAATGTAAGACTGTGGTCAGCTGCTCTTAGATTTCCCTTTAGTTTCATCAGAGGGCCTAATCTTTTTATGTGAGAAGGGGCACTCACAATTCTCTTGGTAGTTGGAGGGACGGTAGCAGGCACTTTGCACAGTATAGGGGAAAATAAATAAAATGAATGAAGCAGCTTGCATTACACTGCAAAGATTTTTCATCTCCTGAAGGGCTATTTTGCTAATGTTTTGGTTGATGACCTGAAAAATGCCGGAGTCTGAAATGAGTGCCATTATTATTGTAATAATATTGCATCTCATGGCGTGCTGTTATTGATGTTATCATCTCCTGTGATTTTCACGACACTTCTCAAATGTCAGTGATCTGCACTTGCATTGGGAAATAAAGAGGCAGGATTACCTGTATTTTATAGATAGGGTCATTCATGAAATGGCCGCTGGTTTTGAACAGACTAGATTTGGGATGTTCTTGTAGAGTCATGTATATTAAGTAGCTTGTTACAGTGTGTGTGTGAAGGTGCAAAGGACAGGAGAGCTGCAGACCTGGAGGCTCTGTACTGACAAGGCCATCAGCAGGACTCAAGGGGATGGCTTCAGCTGAACTGCAGCACACTTGTGTCAGGCTCTACAAAATTAATGGCATGTTTCTTAGAAAACAGCCCCGTTCTTCGATGCTGTCATCACCTCTGACTCAGATACTGAATGCCCTATTTGGTAGGAACCCCCCACCACCCTCCTCTGCATCCTGAGCACATTTTGCTAAGACTGCCAAGATACTACTCATTTTTCTAAATTTGTTACCACACAGATGGCATGAGAAGTACATTTCTGAAGGAC